GTGTGTAATCAATAAAAGATGAGAACTAATAATTCGAGAATATAATCTTAATGTTACTAAGCCTACTTCACGTAAATTAAGTTGGAGAGTGTTGTTGGATAGTATCCGATGAATCCACGAATAACGCATCTTTGTCTCCGTAGTCCTCAATATGCACATCAACAATCTTAAATATTAAGCCACATAGCTATGCTATATATTAATTTCAAACTTATGGACTTTGGGGTTGCATGCATGTTTCTTAAGATGTGAAAATTACTTTAAGATGTGAAAATTAAATGCAACATTTAATTTTCACATCTTAAAGCCCATTTAATTTTCACAAGACTTTCACATCTTAGGGGGCGTTTGGTTCAGGTCATCTTAGATTACCTAGGTAATCTGAGTCTGGTAATGTTATATTACCTTGTTTGGTTCAAGTTATAAGATTACCTGGTAATGTTATATTACCCGAAAGCTAACGTGGCGGTAATGTTTCAAGGTAATGTGATTACCCCCATTTTTTTAGGTAATCTTAGATTACCTTGAATTATTCCAACTTTGCCCTTGTTAACTAATCCTTATATAATAATAATAATAATAATAATAATAATAATAATAATAATAATAATAATAATAATAATAATAATAATAATAATAATAATAATAATAAAATTAATATATGTTTATATAATCAAATATACATGTGTATATTTATATATTTATTTTTTTTTTAATATTTAAGCATTGATACTACAATGTAATAGAGCCAGTAACTTTCAAAAAAAGCATTGATATACATTTATACATATAAATAAATACACACACATTATATATATATATATATATATATATATATATATATATATATATATATATATATATATATATATATATATATATATATATATATATATATATATATATAATTGAGGACATTATTGTAAATTGATCCATATAACCTAAAATATAACTTTGAACCAAACAAGGTAATATTATATTACACCATCCAAACCAAACATACAAGGTAATCTTACATTCCCAACATCTCACATTACCTTCCTGGAGGTAATCCTATTACCTGGGGTAATCCAAGATTCCGTGAACCAAACGCCCCCTTAAAGTCATATGGTCTTGTGAAAATTAAATGCAACATTCAATTTTCACAAGACCATATAGCTTTATTATATATAGGATACGATAAGAAAATTAATTACAAACGAAGTCAAATTTAGACGGCAAACAATCTCACTTAGGCCATTAATAAATTGTAGGTAAAAATTTGTGTGAGAGCGTCTCACGGATCCTTGTTCGTGAAATGGATCGTGTCAATATGAAATGTAATACTTATACTAGTAAATGTAATATTAAGGGTGTGTTTGAAAATCTGGAAAATGTTTTCTGAAAAATGATCGTTTTTCATATAACATTGTTTTCCTAGTATTTGGTTACATTCCAGAAAACTATATTGGTGTGATTGGTTCATTTTTCAAAAAATAAAAAATAAAAATACCAAGATTGTAACATTAAACATTTTAATTGTTATGTTTAAAATATAACAATATTAATCATAATATATAATAACAATTTTAGATATAATAAATTATTTATTTCAACAAACAATTAGATCACATTTTATTCAAAACAAACATGACCATTCTATTTTCACACATAGGCAATCCACACATACAACCCAAATTCGAACTCAAAAAATGTAGTATACTAGAATACTAGTTGACCTACCATGAGTAAAGTAATATACTAACAAAAAATCAATGTTATTTATATTTTAAAAAAAAATTAAAACTATGATTTCAGAAGCCAAAAATAGAGCACTGGTTTCCAGCTTCAGAAAGCAGTGGCCAAAGACTGGTTTCCGATCTAAAAATCAGATTGGTTTTGCATGTTTCCGGCTGTGAATTTTTGTTCCCACAGCCGAAAACTGTCTCTGATGGCCTTGGTTACGGTGAACTGCAAGAGAGACGAAGAAGAAAGTCAAAGATGAAGAATGTCGCTATGGAGAAGGTCGTTAGCTTTGCGCAAGTCTGAATATGAAAAAGGACTTCCCTAAAAAAAGAGGAGAAATTATTTTGCAAGAAAACATAACTAATTTCTCTTTGACTGGAAGTCATTTTCCTTTCACTTTAATTCCTCACCCCCCCCCCCCCCCCCTCCTGCCAAAACTGAAAACCTAGAAAATAATTTTCAGAAATCATTTTTCAGGTTTCTAAACACACATTAAATTAGGAATAAAATATTTATTACTTATACATCAAAATGTAATACTTTTGAGGAATAAAATGTTTGATTGTTCTTTCCCTAAAGCCTAAAATAAAATTTATTAGCGTGTGACTAGTCATGCATATAATTATCATTGGCCCTGTTTGGTAAAAAATTGGCCTATAGGTCAATTTTGGTTTATTTAACCACTATTAATTGTTTGATTTAGTTAAAATATCAATATAAATGTTTGGTTAATTAGCTTTTTGCAACTCCAAAAGGTTAAAATTGAAAAAGCTACCTCAAGCAACTTTTTCAATTAGCTTTTTGAGAAAAGAAATTATACCAAACAGCTAACAACTAACAGCTAATTTACCAAACACTTTTCTACAATCAGCTAATGTTATCAACTAACCCTCTAATTAACACAATCAGCTAACAACTAACAGCTATCAGCTAACAGCCATTTTACCAAACAGGGCCATTACCTTTTGTTAATGAATTGAATGATCACTTGAAACACATAATAAATACACTTAAAAGTAAGGGGGAATTGTAAAAAATGCCCCTCTATAATATGTCAATTATCAATGTCACCCCTGAATTATGAGTGGTGTAAATGTCGCCCCTCAATTATCAAAATGGTGCACATATAGCCCCTCCCGTAACGGACCTGTGGTTCCCCCACCATTGTCCATCGCTGGTACTTCGAATCGAGGGAGGGAAAAAACAACTAAATTACATGTTTACTCCGACTTAACGATGTCGTACACTAATCGGGAACCACATGTCAGTTACGGGAGGGGCTATATGTGCACCGTTTTGATAATTGAGGGGCAACATTTACACCACTCATAATTCAGGGGTGACATTGATAATTGACATATTATAGAGGGGCATTTTTTACAATTTTTCCTAAAAGTAATTTTGAAGTCCATGTACTATAGTGTTTTGTTCAATTTAATTCTTGTACTTTTATTTTGTTCAATTTAGTCCATCTACTTTAAAAAGTGGTGAAACTAAGTACAATAGTTCACGGTGTTAACCAGGACTATGTGGTCCAATGGTACCCGGGTTGGACTTCCATTTGGAAGGTTGTGAGTTCAAGCCTCAGTGGAGGCATTATTAGCTCTTTGTGTTTCAATAGGTTGAGAAAGTATATGAACAGATACTACTATGTAATAGAGCTAGTAGCATTCAAAAAAAAAAAAGTTCACGGTGTTAATATTACCATTAACTTAATTTACGTGACATTGACATCATTGTGCCACATTATGATATTTATATTCCAACTCATATTATTTCACTAGTGGAAATTATGGAATTTCCGACTACCTAAAAGTGATCTTAAATCAAGTCGAAAGCCTTGTTCCGACCACTTTTAGTATCCGGAAAAATCTTTGTTGCTATTTCCGATCACTTTTTGGTATTAACTTGATTTAAGATCACTTTCAGGTGGTCGGAAATTCCATAATTTCCAGTAGTGTTTTATAAATATTTAAAATTAATTATTTTTACCACTAATATATTATATTAATAATCCTAAAATAAATAATTACAAGCATGTCGATATCAAGTGTCTAAATCTCATTAGAAACATGGTTGTAATTATTTATTTTGAATATACAAATTTATTAAAATCGGAACCCAATATTTTGGTTTTGATTAATTAAAATTGCAAACCGGAATCACCAGTTCCGGTTCTGAACTAAAAAAAAAAAATTAAATATTGAATTTAAACTATTTAAAAAATAAAAATATATTAAAAAATAAAACTAGCAGTTCAGAATCGGAATCGAACTGCAATCATATCTACTTATATGTAAGAATCAGAATAAACTAAATGCGAAAGAGTATACACCATTTGTAAATATTATTATTATAAAGCTCTCTGTAGGGAAAATATATATTATAAACAATATGGGCCTTTGCGAATTCATATTGGGCTTTTATTAAAATAATTCTTATGTTACAGAGTCACTTATAACAGACAAATTATATCGTGCAGCGCGGTGCATAATCAATTATGCACCGCGTATCAAAACGATGTCGTTTTATTTAATGAAAAGAAATGAAATCTGTTTCGCGTTGTTCCGTATCATTTCGCAAAAAATAACTCTGTTCTTCAGTTTCATTTTGTATACACTGCAGTTTCAGTTCAACACAACTATAGTTTTATTTTGATATAATTATAGTTTCATTCAATATTTATACAATCAAATATGTGAAAATGTTATTTAATTTTATTTTATATACACTATAGTTTCATTAAAACACAACTACATGATCATTTCAATATAACTACAGCTTCATTGTACAATATACACTCAAATATGTGAAATGTTATTCAATTTCATTTTTTATATACTGCAGTTTCATTTCACCACAACTACAATATCATTTCGATATAACTGCAGTTTCATTTGATAATATAAAAATAATACGTGAGACAGTGTCGGTTTAGATACACTGTAGTGTCATTCCGTTAACACTAACAGTGCGCCGTTTTGATGCACGGTGCATAATCGATTATGCACCGCGGTCCACGATATAATGACTGCTTATAACATCAGAGTACTAATTTGACACCCGCACGGGCTTAACTCAATGGTTTAGTGGGCATTATTTGGGAGAAGAAGAGAAGAGTACTAATTTGACTTTAAATTCTAAATATTTCTAAATTAAATATAGGTGAAGGAAGGAAAATATGAAAATTATGGAAATAAAATCTCTTCTTCTTTGGAGGGAAAAATGAATACGTATTGGGTTGAAGTTCCTATTAATCATTCTTGAGATCTTAAGCTGTTCACTCATTCAACAATGGAGCCATACGCTGACGCCGTAAGTCAATGAGATCTCTATTTTTATTTTTATTTTTAAATAGAAATGTTATACTTTGCATACATGTTCTAAATAATCCACACTTCTAGCTTGTATATCTATATTTTTTAAAAAAAAAAAAAAGAAAAAAAAAAAAGAAAATACGTGAAATATTGTAAAATTTTACAATCAAATACATATTTTTTTGTTTTCAGAGTTGTATTCTGAGAGTGGATATTAATTGTGATGCGTGCAAATTCAAAATGATTGAAGTTATAAGTTCGGTCGCGGGTAAGATTTTTACTTTTAAACTTTGTATTATGCACTCTTCTCTTTAACGGAACACTAAAAAATATAAATTAAAAAAATGAAAACCAATGATAGGAGACGTTAATTAAAAATATTTGTTATTGAAATGAATTTAATACTTTTTTTTTCTTCATTTTCAATAATGTGTGAATTATTAGGTGTGTATTCAATTAGCATTGATGCAGAGGAAAATTTGGTAAAAATTTGTGGGGAGGTGGACCCTAATCGTCTCTTGAGTGCATTAGCAAGAGAAGGTAAACATGCAAAAATAGTAATGGCTAACCTAAAACACCCTCAACTAAGACTACATCCAAGATATGGCTATATCCAAGGTCACGATGACCTTGGCAATGGAGGCGGCCATGGCTATCACCCTCACCAAGCCTTCCCTATAAGAGGGGCACTCCCTCACCATTCATACTATCCATACCATTATCCATCGTGCTATATAAGGTACGTATTATTTATTTATTTTAGTAGATTTTATATCTTATATGTTAAAAGTAGAATTTTAGTAGATTTTATATCTTATATGTTAAAAGTAGAGATGATTATAGTTTGTGGAGGATCAACTTGTCTTGAGATGATTCATTCTAGCCAATGTTCGTGCTAGGTTTGGAAATTAGAATTGGACCGGTCAAGTTTATAAAAATCGAGTTTGAGCCGATTTGGTGGTTAAATTTGCTTTTTTTTTTTCAAATTTTTTCGGTCCAAAGAATTATTATCTCCACCATTATAGCACGTTTGGTTCACGGAATGAATTTTAGGGTAATAGGAATGCTATTCCATAAGGAATGGAATAGGCAAGGAATAGAATATGAATTGTATTCTATTGTTTGGTTCGCGGAAGAAATAGACTTTATAAATTATATTACAGTGTTTGGTTGGTTTAACAAATAGAAATGAAATATGTTTTAAAAGACATAAATACCCTTATAAAAATATGTGGTGGTGGCGGTGGCGGTGGTGGTGGCGGCGGTGGCGATGGTGGTGGTGGCGGCAGTAGCGGTGACGGTGGTGGTGAAATATGAAATAAATTTAATTAGGTGTAAAGAAAGAAATATATAAATGTGTGTGTGTGTGTGTGTATGTTTGTGTGTGTGTGTGTGTGTGTGTGTGTGTGTGTGTGTATATATATATATATATATATATATATATATATATATATATATATATATATGGGTATTTTTGGTATTTGTAATATAAAAGCTATTCCCATAAGTATGGAAATAGCTAATACCAATGCCCCCCTAGGAATGATTATTCTCATTGCAAAGGGAATATGTCATTCCTAGGAATAGCATTCCCATGACAAAGTGACGAACCAAACAATGAAATAAGTCTATTCCAAGAAATGTCATTTCATTTCTGACCTCCGTGAACAAAACATGTCATTAGAGTTTAAATCTTTGACCATCCATTTAGAATGGTAATAGAAGTACCATCACACTACATAGTAGTTGACAACGTCATATATATTATTAGTACAATATTGTAAGGTACATGTATGAAAATATGTTATCAAGGTTAAAATAATAATCACGTTATAAATAATATTTAAAACGTTAAATTAGTACTATCTCTTGTAATTTATTAAAGTAGTAAATTTTGATTATTATATTTAAAAATATTAAAACCTTTTGTCAAATAATATTGTAAATCATTTACATAAATTTAATATTTTTTTTTAAAAAAATAACTAACTAGCCCTTACTAATTTTAAATGTAAATGTAAATTAAATTCATAATTATCAATCCTTATTTATAATGTTTTATTTATTTTATTATTCTAATATAATGGGCGCATATATTTAACAAATATTATAGTTATTAAAGAATAGATAGAAAGAATATTCCTTTCAAAAAAAAAAAAAATAGATAGAAAGAATATGGTGAATGCATGTATATGATAAAGATAATGAAAAATATAATTAATGGTTATCAGTATGTTTATTTTTTGTTTCAAAAAATGAATAGTACAACTTTAATACCGTGATGTATAATTTTTATTTTTTTTTTTAAAAAATAGCATAAATAAAGCATATGAACCTTCGATCACACTTATTACATGCATTCTTATTAGATTTTTAGATTTAGATTATATTAGATATGGAAACATGTACATATCAAGAAGCTATAATATAATTATTATGATTTTTATCCGTTTTAAATATTAATATACAAGTATTTAAAGACATTTAGAACAGTTAAAGTACATCTCATCATTTGTTTCATCCACATATTTTCAATGTTACGTTGGAGCGGTGAGGATACGCAAGTGTTTTATTCTTAATCTCGATATTTTTTTTTAAAAAAAAAATTAATTAATGTTTTCATTTAATTTTGATGATTTGCAGGCAACGCCCTTTTCGTTTCTAAAAGGGCAGTTGGAGATCAAGATTAAAGTCGTGGCAACCTAGACGAAAGACGAGGACCAGAAGGACAACTTAAATTTCTATATATTTTTTTTTCCTCTAATGACTTTCAAGTTGTGTACTGTTCTAAATTGAAGATATTTATGAACTTCTATTTAGCACAATTGAATTTATTTTAATGTTGATACATAAGTGGCATTTGCTATTATTGTTTTCTAGACCAACTACGGTATAAATATATGGTTTATATCTCTAGTTTTAATTCAAATAATATAACTAAGATTTGATGATTCTCTCTCTATCTCTTGTATTCTTGATTGAAAACAATACAACTTTTCTCGTGAGGAAAAGTCTTATGGTGTGTTTGGTTCAAACATTGAAATTGAAATAGTAATAGAAATCAAATGCTTGGTAACGGTAATGTGTTTTAGTAGGAACTAGGAGGAGTCACTTTGTTTGGTAGTAAATAACTAAATATGAATTGAAATCGAAATAAATAAATATATAAATACACACACACACACATATGTGTGTGTGTGCGCGCGCGTGCACGCGTATGTATATATATATATATATTAAAATTTCATATTTAATACATGGATATTGTTTTTTTTTTTTCATTATTTTCTCTCTTATTTTTTATTTTGATTATTCAAAAGTAGAGGAGTAAAATAACTAATGAATTTTGTAATTATTAAAAGATTTACCAATAGTATGATAAAAAAAAATAGACAAAGAAATATGATAATGAGTATCAAAATTCAAAACCCATAATAAGGTGTAAAAATCCCCAACCAAACACCATCTAAATTTACACTATTAACAAAATATATGTATTATTTGCTCTAATCCATTCTGTAAGGATAATTGTATTTGACAGGATTTATAAGAAAATAAATAACATATGATTATTAAATTTATTATTTTTTTTAAACAATTAATGATGCTTAAATTTAAAAAAGAAATAATATTTTAGGAGGAATTAAAAAGCGAGGAGTGAAATATTAATCTAGAAAACTGACCCTTACGAAATCGGCACGTGTCAGCGAGATGTGAGAGTGCTTACTTGGGTGAATAATTACACGTGGCGGTCGGAGATACATGACCTGGTACATGGCATACGTGTCCGATGCGGGTAGAGGTTTCCATCTCCTCCACTCTGCTTCACTGCGACTCCCACCTTTTATCCAATCCTCCCTCCCTACAATCCCTTGCCTTCTACTTTCTTTCTCCTTCTATCAATGGCTTACAGGACAACTACATGCCGCCAATATGACGACGGAATGGTGGACTGCGAACTGGAAGCCGCCGAGGCGTTGGCCGGTTTAGCACATTCCGCGCTTTCTACCGCTTCCGATGCGTCCGAATCGCCTGCCAACAGCCGCTCTCCGCCGCCGCCGCCGCCGCCTCACGAGGTCGGTTCGCCTCTGCTTCTATATCTACCTCTCTGATTTGTTTATCCTTATGGCTTGTACTGGTGCCGATATGTTGTTTATCAAGTATCGTTTTCCGTTATCGATGCTAAGTGAAGTTGTTTGTTAATCTGAATTTCAAAATTGGTTAAGTTAATAGAACTAGATAAGGTTGTGTACTTCGACTTCAACTAGCCATAGCAGATGGCGCTTTATCTGAGTTTCCATTGACTAAATGATTAGGCAGTTTAAGCACAAGGGGATAAAAGCCTTGTTTATTTACTTGGAAACTGTAGGATTTGCAGTCACAGAGGCCTTCCCTGTTTTGCACATTATGTTTGATCCTTGATAGGTGGTAAAGTGATCAATCAGGATATAGAGTTTATAAGGCTACAATAAGTATAAGTGCGTTGACATGAACCATCCCACTCAATGTTACCTAGATTTGAATGTAATGGGATCAGGTTTATTCAATATCATATACTCTAATCCTTTCTTCAGAGGAATTGAGAAATGATTATGTTTATAGCAGGATCACGAGATCTTGTCTCCCCGGCACAATATAGAAAATCCATTGCCAAATATTTTGGGGTCTGGGAATGAGTTTGAAATTTGCCCAAGTCTTACATGCAGTTTTGATTATCCATCAGTTATTGGAAGCAAGTCAAGGCAAAATATAACTGAGGTACTTGAGTTTAGTTGTCTTCTGATATCCTTTTTAGGCTATGGTCAGTTCTACTGATTGAACCTGCTTGTCTCAGGCTGAAAAGGAAGCACGAAGACTGCGTCGTGTTCTGGCAAACAGAGAATCAGCTCGGCAAACAATTCGTCGAAGGCAGGTAAAATTCATTTGCTTGATCCACTCACTTGTAGTTATGGCTTACAAATGCCATTTTGTTTAATGACATGAGAATTAGAGTCTTAAACTTCTGGATCTTGAAATAAACATCGTCATATTCATTTTTCCTCATTTAGTGGCTTCATTGTTATATTGTATATTTCAAATCTTAAAAATAGTTGAACATTTTTTATATGAAATGGGCATTGCCTTACTTTTCCTTTGCACAGTACTTCAGCTTGAAATTTATGGTGCAGAAGAAGCAAAATATCACAACAAATATTTGCTTGTATTTGTTGTGCTTTGTCTTTATACAATGTGTTTCTTTACTCTGAAACCTGTATAAACATAGCATGAGCTTGTTCTTGTAGCCTCCTTTTTTTTTTATAAAACTGTGAATGCATGTGATGCATGGTTCAGAAGAGCTTCATCTGGAGATTGTGTGGTTAATTGAATCTGTACTCCAAGTCTTGTTTTGTCAATAAAAAATTTACTTAATTTTATGCTTTAGTACACTCACTATTCATGGCTAGTGAATACTGAATACCCTGGGTGAATCTCTTCGTTTGTTCTAGGCTATGTATGAGGAATTGACAAAAAAAGCAGCTGACCTAGCATTGGAGAATGAGAATTTGAAGAAGGTAAGCATCATTTCATTTCTCAATCTTACTTTTGTTGTTACTATTCACTTTAATTAACCAAAATTGCATCGTACTATATTCTAGTTCGACTTTATATTCCTGGCTCTTGTGCTTCTATTCCTTTATATTCACTTTAATTAACCAAAATTGCATCGTACTCAGTATTTGTTATGTTGGTTTGCTTGGAACTTTTTACTGTAATGAATAGGAAAAGGAGTTGGCAGCAAAGGAGTATGATTGTTTGAAAAGCACAAATAATAGCTTAAAAGCACAGGTAACTGTGTCTAGCTGAAACAAGTTGGTTGGAATTTTGATTTCTTCTACTTTCTTTTTCTCTAATACATGTTAGTGCTTTTGCAT